TTGTCCTATTGGCATTAGTAAAAGTACACGACTCTCTTTCTTCTTTTCTCTTCTTCTTCTCTTTTATTTTTTTATTTTTTATTTTTTAAACAAACGATAATATTTACACTAAGGGATTGGGGGTTGGGGGTTTGAGCTAAGCCTTACAATGGACTTACTATAATAATGTGGTTCAACTTCACTTTTGACGATAATTGAACTTAAGACCTCTCACTTACAAGTGAAGATGAATATCACTAGACCGTAATACTAATTAAGTGGCCTTTTTTTTTTCTCTTATTAGACATTTCACATGACATCAACTTTGTAACAACTGCATCCTTCTCCTAAATTGCCTATGAAATATCAACTTGAACGAAAATTATCTGACGTACGAACATTGTCTAAACCGTGCCTAGTATTATCATGTTACACCATAATCGTAAATAAAAAAACCTTCTGATTGAAAACCCCATTTTTAAGTTACGAATTTTCTGCCAAAGAAAACAGCAGTAATATTGCAGCCTTAGTCAAGGACATAGTGGGAAACCTCAAACCCTAATTATTTGATACAATGGTGTTGTATCCCTGACAATTCCCTTGTGTCCCAATTTTGATTGATTTTCCTAAGTGTTGCATCTCTTATGTACTAGTGGCCAATGAATCCAAGTACATTTTTTCTGCAGTGACTGTGCGGAGTAGTGCCATTTGCCCAGTTCTGTAGATGATTCTCAGTTTATCATTAAAACAAGAAGAAAATGCATCGGATAAGACTTTTGCAGAAACTGAAGGCGGCAAAAGAAGGCAAGGATATCCCAAATGCACGTAAAAGGTGGGGTGGTTTGTGGCCTATGGCGACTTCTAGATTCTCTACTCAAAGGTATTCTCTTCTGCACTTTCATTGACATCCACGCTGATTCTTATCCCCTACTTTGGCAATTACAAAGTCCCTACAAGATTTTCCTTGAACCACCAAATCCCAATTGTTCATTAGAATAATTGTTTTGTAAATCACACTTCACCTCCCCATTGTAGTCGATGCAAAGGTCCAAAGCTAAAATAGTAACTTGGATTGTGGAGAAGAAACGTTCTTATAAATCACTGGTTTTATAGATTTTTCCGTCTGCACCTATAAAATTTTCGGCCTTCAGACACCAACAGAGAGCGAGTGTGTAACACTTCCAATAAGGAAGCAACAAGTGGCCCATTCATACAACTTGCAACCAAGGATTGGTTTGTTGTTTTCATGCGCTTTGCTGCTAAAATGTGACTGGAATCAGTGGCTCTGGTTCTCCTTCGTAACCAAGGTTAATGAAAGATACAAAAATGAAAAAGTTGTAGAATAAAGCATTGGGGAGAGAAAAGGAGAACCTTTGGTTGGTGGGTCATTCAAAAATAAGGGAAAAGTTCCAAAAAATGAGAGAAAAAAGTGGGGAAGAGAAGACATGGAGGTGAAAGAAAGGGATAATATTCTTGGTACCACATTATTATAATTTATTTTAGTTAACGAAATCATTATTGACACTCCAAAAGTATTTTATATATTTTTTTAAATACACTTGTAAATAATGCATAAGGGATATTTTAAGTGCCAATAACAATTTCTCTAGTTAATTGGATTGATTAAAAGTGAATTTGAGAGCTTATTGACTGACCCTATTAACAATAAAAAGTGAAATAAATAGTGGGCTGGTGAGCCAATGAGCCTATAGAATCATTTGGATGCATCTACCAGTTATCCGATGGGAGAAATTTCTTTAAAAAAGGTGTTGGAATATGATGGAAAATGAACTTCAAAGCAAATTTTGAGAGAGAAAAAAGGGGATGCAAACCATGTTGGGAAGCTCATGAACATTTCTTACTCTTGATAAAGGTGGAGAAAAATCATCTATGATGAAAGGAAAATGTTCTAGAATTCAACTTTTTCATAGTCCCTCATGTGAAGCGAAATCCATAGTATTATCGGAGTCCTTGAAAGTGAACAAATTATTAAAAAAAATTCAAAACTAGCCATTTAAGATTAATCTTCGAAACCTATATTAAAAAAACACTCAATATGTTGCAAATAAGCACAAAAAGGATATTGGATTTTAGACACTTTCCTTGGATTAGAGATGAAGATCATAAGTATTGATGCAAGCAACAACTTTAAAGTATGTCTCCTAACATCATCGATGAATTATGAAGAAGCGTAAAGATCAAATGACATGCCATCTAACCAACTTTTTGATGCACTCAAGTTCTTGTGGGTTTTCTTTTACTTTTTGGGTAGTTGTTCTACTCCCTATTACCTCTATGTGCCTTCAAGGCCACGAAACAGCCTAATATTAGGTGCATTTGTTGAAACATTGTTTTGTGTTTTGACTACAAATGTTGCATAATAATAAGTGTAAACGACTAGAGTCGTTTGAATCGTATTTTCCACATGGCATCACATGGACATGGTTCTCATCCTTTGGACCTTCTTGTACTATTTCTTTTTCAAAGCACAAAAGAGAACCTATACGTACCTATCTACAAGGTTTAATTTAATATCTCCAGTATATCTTACAAAATTTAATTTTAATCGAAGTTTTCTCAAGGGCAGTAGTGTTTGTATCTCCAGAAGAATCGAACATTTACCCTTCCATGTTTGAGTTTGAATCTTCCTTCATTTGGCCTCCTTTTGTAATGATTCGTTACAACTACATGATATAACACAATTTTATTAGAGAATTACATGGTCTGATATTTGCAGTATAGTTTTGCTAAGTGAATTAACCTTTTTTTGCTTTGGTCAAATTATTCTTACTTGAGAAATTTTGTTAACTGTAACTCGTTCGTATTATCTCACTCGGATGAAATAAATCTTTAATTTTTAGGTAAACTAAGGCATAGCCAAACGAAATTAAGAAATAATCATCAAGCAAAACAGACTTAACACAAGTAAAGGCTCCTCCAAAATGTGAAAACTATTACTAATTAGGATCAGTCTTACTCAAGCGAAGTACGATGGCCTTGTTTCTTTTCTAATTAATTCTCTATAAACGTAACGCATCTCAATTTGAGATCAATCTCACAAACTTGGATTTTCTTTATGAATGCTTTTTTATTTTATTTTTTTTATTCTCTTTTCTTTGGGGAGGGGAAATTCAAACTGAAAACCTTGGGAGTAAGCGAGAATGTTCCCAACCGGCTGAGCTATAAGCCCATTGCTTTTACCCAACAAGTCTTGCTTCTGTTTTTGCTAAAGAGAATTCCAAACTGTTTCTTCACGGGGACATTATAAATTTATAACCTTCCCAGAAAAACAAATGGAAAGAAAACCCAGATAACACAATTACTTTTACATGCACTAAGTATCGATGTCAATCTCTTTCGATCTCAACCACAACGTCCACCAGGGTCCTAATCATGTCCAACTTGGAGATATACAAATATGGACACACTTATCGTTGTCTAGGAATCTTATCATGTTTCTAATATCATATCAAATGTTAAACTACTATATATAAAATATAATTCCCTTGTCACTTGTATAACATAAGGTTTCATAAAGTTATTTAGGCCATGGCCAAATAGGTTTCTCCACAATTGCTTCATCCACTGGCTCCTTAATTACCATAACAATAGGTGAAACCAAGATGCCTACTAAAAATCTGATAATTATATGGGAGGAAGGGATTAGACTCTTGCTAGTCCAAGTTCAAAGTATACATGCTCTTAATCAATAAGTGTACATGCTATGAGTTATCATGTGTTTTTTACATCGTCATAGTGATAAATGTATTGATTATACATATAGGATTCATTTGGTGTCTAGGAGTGGGTTGCATTAGATAACTCATAGGATTCGAGGCATGTTGAAGTAAGAAAGAAGAATATCTTATTTTGTGAGGACAAGAAATGATAAGTTATATAGTGTTGATATTCTACTATTTTGCGAGGATTTGAATGGATAATTTCTTTCATTACTAATCTATTTTCTTCCTTCAACTTGAACATTTTTCAGTTTTTCTTTCAACTTGCCTTGAATGTTGAAGCTAGTGATTATCCAAATCATCACAAGCACCAAAATTAATGATTAGACAATTGAAATTGAAAGAAAAACTGTCATTTTATATATAGTTTATATACTGTATTTATAATATAAAGACTTGAAATAAAACGTATATGGGTTAGACCAATTGATCAAAGTTGTTCTTACTTTTTTTTTTTTTTCGACAAACGATATTATCTACACTAAGAGGAGGGATGTGAGCTTAGCCTCACAATGAGTTAGCAACCTAAGACCTCTCACTTACAAGTAAAAAGGAATACCACTATACCGTAGTACTAAGTAGCGTCCTCACTCTCTTGAACTCAAGTTCGAATTCCCCTCCACGTAGATTAGAATAGTTTAAATATTCTTGATAAATATAGAACGTAAAACTCAAAACAGGATGATGTGGCATGATTATTTCATTGACTTGGCAGCAATATGATACAACAAGAGTGATTTGGATCCTTTGAAGCTAATTATAGCTGTTGGATCAAAATCCAATGTGCTTTACTCAGGAGGCTCAGCCTCCTAAGCTCAACATCCAAATCCCAACAAGAGGAGATGACCAAGGGCAATAAAGCATGGATGAGCTGGGTTTGATGCAATATGTGGATAAAACATCTAAAATGAAGGTAAAAAAGACCAGAGTCCATCAGTACGTAACAAATATGCCACACTATAAGTAACAGCATAAACATGTAATGATCCATCTAATAACATGTTACGAGTATAATAATAATGGATTAACAAACACTGAGCCAGACTAATGAATTTTGGTGTTTCAATATAAAACCAATTGACAATATAGAGAGTAATTCAACTACTTATAAGCCTGTCTAAGGTTCATTCTCTCATCAACATGAGATTCGTCAAAATGTCCCCTCACTTGTGGAGAATTTTCAAACCAAATACGTGGATAACACAAATGGAATGACGTAGACCAAGTGTGACTGTTGGATTTCACACGCAGAGAACATGCTCTGGTATCATAAAAGCAATCTTCACAAAATCCATGCCTGAAATTGACAAATCCCATGAAATCTTTTTCACACCAACGAGAGAGAGAGCTTTCTTTTATTAACTCAACAAATGCAATTCTCTAGTAAATAATCTAGAATCTCCCAGACTTATATACGCAACAGTAAACATAATTAATTGGAATTAAACAAGCTTAATTAAAAAACTACACTCACTAATCAATAGCTACATGAGTCAGCAGCTATTAAACTAAACAAAAGATGGCTTTTGTGAGAGCTGATCTTGAAAATGATTGAGGTTGGGGGCTGACTACAGCTTCGTATGCAAATCTGACTTGAGCAGAGTTTGTGTATTTGTTTGTTTGATTGGTTGAGTGCCCTTGTCTCTGGGCCCTCTTCCTCCTTTTATAGGCAAATTAGCCTAACTACTTGTAGCTTGGCTCCTGCCCGAAAGCAATTGAGGAGTAGTGACTCATCAGTAATTTACGTACTCTGCCATCCAGAAAGTGTTTTTGGGCTGAGAGTAGGCTGATTTCCATCAAGTGTCACTTCTTTCAAGCCACTAGCTTTTGCATTAAATGTGGAATCATTTTGCCTTGGGCTGGGCGAATGGGTTTGATGCTGGACCTTCGGGCAGAGTCATGCCTTCTTGGTTCTTGTTGGGCTTCTGTTCCTTCAGCCCAAAGTTCAAATATTAATCCAAACACAACCAAAGCTGAACCATAACCTTATTCAACCACTTATCTCTTCATTGTAAACCTAATTTGATGTCTCATGCCTTGAATCCTTTATTTTCACTTTAATTTCTCTTGCTCTCTTAGCCTGCATAAATCATTGCAACAAGATGGAGGCATTATTTTATAACATGCAACCTACTACATTAATCAATCCCAGAAACTCAAAGGTTTGTTTATCGCACACACATGTTGTAGGAAATGTAGTGAACACAAATGATCATGGAAACCTAATCAGTCCAGTGTCTACAATTGTCCATGAAAATGATGATAAACCCTAAAAGAACTAGATTAGTTACGCTCTAAAATTATGGGTTTGGTTGTGCTTGATTTTGATACTAAAATTCGAAATAAAATCAACCCAAACTGTAACTGTAAATTGTTTGACCAGTTTAGCCAGCTTTTCGATGATAAAACTGAGATTTAGCTTCCTCCAATTTTTAACTCAATAACAAAAAAAATATAATATGTATATAGAGAAAATTAATCAGGAACAGTTTAAGGACTTCGGGTTCTTTATTGCTGGACGAACGGTTTGAAATTAAACATGCTACCATTGGTTCATCTGACTTTTCTCATTCTTATACGAGTGGAAATGACACAAAATATTCATTTACATGTTATAAAATAGTTGTGATTGTCAGGTGAAGTGTTTATTTTTTCATGAAAAAAGTGTGGGAAAAGAAATGAAATTGTATTAACATTTTGGAAAGGGGATTTTTATTACCATTTCTCAAAAATGTCACGAAAATAGAATGTACTCCAGCATCAACCCCAACTATTCTATTCAAATTTCTGGAAAATGGTTTATACGTTTTCATCCAGAGAGAAAATTGAAGAGCAAATTATAAGTCATCAGAAAACCACTTCAGCGTCAAGAACAAAATAAAAATTCTTTGAATTTAAGGAGAGTCGAGAAGCAAATAGTTAGCTCAACGAAGCGTGAACTTTTCAAATCAAAACTACCACTATTACGAAAGCACCATCGGATAAATTCTTGAAGTGAAAGTGGAAGCTAATACAAGCAAGCTTTGTACTACTACGACGCAGCATCACAAGTGCCCTGTGTGCGCAACTCAACAGCGTATTTACACTACAAGCACATATATAGCATCTATGAGAGAACAAATACCAACAAATTTACTTCAAAGAAGAACCTTGTTTGAAACCAAACAGATAAACACTAGCATCGAACTTCCCTCCCCAGGAAAAACCTTGTATACGTAGATCGACCTTCCCTTCCCTAAGAAGAACCTTGTATACTTCCTGATAACACTAACTACAAATTTATAATCATATCATCACAATACAACAGCTTCAGTCACAAAACTAACTTTACAACCAGCCATTCAGGCACAGAGTAAACTAGACATCCTAACATAGAAGCCTACTAATGTTTCGATATCATTCACGAGTAACAGGCAAGGATGTCTTTAGAAGAAGGAGATGAGTTTTCCAAAACTAATGCTTGGTGCAAATGTGTATCGTAAAGGCACAATCAACCAAGCTTCATTCGATACTTCATAGTCTGAACTCTAAAGTTTGAATTACAATGGAAAGGCTTTCAAAACTCATGCTGAGGGTTAGTTATATGCCATGTGGGGAAAAATAACTCTTAGTTGTCAAGCCTATTTACCAATCTCAGTTCAAATCATACTTTCCATCCAAATTCAGTCTGGTTCGAACCAAAGTGTGCATCACTTGTAGGTGACTTAGGGGTCTAAGAAAGGCTTCAATGGCTTAAAAGACTTTTTAACCTTGCACATAACGCGTGTATTGGCAAAATTGGATAGAATTCGGATGGATTGAGAACAATAACAGGTTTCACCACATGGGCAACATCGACATATGACTTACACCAGGAGGATGGTTTTTTACAGGAAATGATTTCTGCACTCTATTTTGACCTCGTACACGAGTGTAGAGGTAAAAAGGGGTGTGGAAATCAATCCCCTTTGTAATCGGCCTATTCTACGCTTAATTTTAAGGGAATTTTAACGAAAAGCTCGTGATACTGTTCACTTTAACAAAAAACCACATTTTAAAACTAAAATGTTAATCCTACTACTATTCATTTTACGCTTTATTTTGTCGGTCAAAGTTTTTAAATTCTTTTCATTAGTTTTTCTTAATATTAATCTAAAAGCAAAGTGGCAAGGTCCTACACAGAAATATGCAAAATAGTACAAACGAATCGATGCTATGATTCAGAAAGCAATTGTATTCCATGGCCCAAAATCATAAATAAGGACTAGTTTATAACGTTCACCAATTTTTGGGTTAAAAACGAAAGAAAAATAAAATATGAAAAAAAGTATCTGTATTATTATACTGATTACTCACAGTCTCATAACTCAACTTCGCACGGACTTGACTGACCCGTCAAAGTCCCGGTCCCATTATTTCGGGCAAACCCGGTGAATTCGACCCGATTGCAGTAGACCCGCAACAACCGCGATCTCGATTGAAACACCCCAGACTTAAACCGAACCCACGCCGCCACCCACACTCCGAACCTCACCGACCCGCGATCCTTCCCGTCGGCGATTCCCCTCGCCACGTCGTCGCGGACGTATTCCCCCACCATCGCGAGCTTGAAATTGACGCGCGTCTGGTTCCTCTTGGCTGAGACGAAGGGAGGCACAGCCGCCGTGGTGAGCGGAACTCCGCCGTACACGGGCGAGGCGGTAAGGCGGTCGTAGAAGATGGTGAGCTTGTGGTTGGGGTTGGTGGCGAGGAGGGTGAAGTCCCACGTGGCGGTTAGCTCGGAGCTAGTCGCGTTGAGCGGAGAGACGCTGGCCGATTCGACCCGGAACTCGGGGAGTTGGGGGCGGAGGACGAGCCAGGAGATGAAGAAGATGATGGACATGACGGCGAACACAGCGACGGCGGCGATGATGATGCGGCAGAGGACGGTGGGTTTGCGCCTGAAGGGCCCATTGGGCTGAGGGTTGTAGTAGGGAGGGGGTGGGCCCGTGGGATGGTAATTACTGCGGTTGGGGTGCGGCGGTGGGGCCGCATAAGGGTAGGGAGCTGCGGCAGGGTAGCCGGCGGCAAATTGGGCGGGCGGAACTGGATAGCCGGTGACAGTCTTGTGTTGTCCTTGGGACGAAGAAGCAGCCATTTCAAATCAGAGAGCTTTGGTTTAGATTAATGGTTAATAATAACAAATATTTTTGGAGGAGGATTGTCTGCCCTCCAAGTTTCGGTGCCCTTCCATGCCCTCCTGTTTTGTGGTCACGGTTAAGTCACGTTAATATTTTATATTATTTTTTTATAAAGATAATAAAACAAAAATAAATAATAATATAAAATATTAACGTGGTTTAACCGTGACCACACAATCAGGAGGGCATGGGAGGGCACGGTAACTTGGAGGGCAGACAATCCTCCTCCAATATTTTTGACAGATGGTTGGAAGCTGTCATAAATTAATACTTCATTGGGGATGGGAAAAGATTAAATAAAAAATCAGTAGCACTTAAACCAAAAGCTGGCATCTCCGGCACGACGGTGGCTTTGGGTTGAAAGCAACGTATTGAGGAATCTTAGAGCGCCTTCAACACGGCGGCGACACTTATCTTGTCGTCATGTGTCGTCCCCACACGGTCTCTCTCGATTTGTTTAGGTAACTCTCACGGCTGACCTTGGGCTGATTCAGGCTTGCTATTTGCCCCATCGGTGATGGATTCTATATAAAGCCCAAATTCACGTAAACAAGATTATGTCTACATTATGTGGTCACGCTTATAAAAGCCCCAAAAAAATTAGTTTGGGTTCCGTTAGCTTTTTATTAAGTGTCGTTTTTTTTAAACAAACGATATCATTTATGCGTTTTATTAATATAATATTAATTAAGGGAACTAAAAACAAACGTAATAGGCTGCTACTCTAGGCTCACTTTGCTTTTTCAAGCTCCGTCCTTGAAAACTAAAGCGCCAACGCGCCTTACATTTATTATTTTGTATAAGCCCAACTAAAATAGTTTGGGATATGTCAGAAATTTTTTTTTTTAAACAAATGATATTATCTACACTAAAAATATAATAGAGTGATTTAAGCCTCATAATGGACTAGTTTATTAAGCGTTGTTTGATCAACATTTCATTTACAATTTTTAATTTTTAATTTCATTTATTTTGAAAATTCAAAACTCCAAGTAATTACCAAACAAAGTTTTTTTTTTTTTTTTAAGTAAAATGTAAAGACAAAATTATCCTCGCTCTATAATTCTGCTCTGCTAGGTAAAAACAATATGTCTTTGCGATTTAGTATTATGGTCTATTAATATTTCTCTTCACTTGTAAGTGAGAAGTCTTATATTTGATTCTCATCAAAAGTAAATTTGAACCACATTATTGCTAGTCTATTGTGAGGCTAAGCCCACCCTCATCCCCTTAGTGTAGATAATATCATTTGCTAAAAAAAAACAACATGCCTTTAACAAAGCCTTCTAATCAAGCATGGGCCTCATAATCTCAAGATATGATGTACATTGTCATTATCTCTAGTCAATAATAAATTATGTTTTTTTTTTTTCCAAGAGGGCGTGTTGACCCTAAAAACTACCAAGCCTATATGGCACGCAGACCGAGTAATTAATAAGCTAACTATGTCATTTGGTTGTGTGCGGAGCGTGCCAACTCGTCGCCCGAGCTCGGCCAGGGAGTAGAATGCGTTGATGTTGTGTTGGGTGTGCTGCTGACTTCTTGATCTTGCGAATGCGGCCAAGGAAGGAACAGGTCTCGACATTTGAGTTCTAGAGCCTGAAAAAAAAGGCTGCTAGTTCTATGAAGTTCACAAATCGTCAGCACCGGGTTCAGTCTCGATAATTATATTCGTGAAAGTATAAGTACACTGAACTGGTATCAGACTATACAGACACAAATACTCGAAAAAGATAAATGTCTTGATGGTAAACGTGGTTCGGCCATCGAAATGCCGAACTTTAAAATGTACTTGTGAATATCCAATCATAAAGTAAAACTCAGCGATCAATGTGCCAAGCCTAATAACCTGTAACACCTCACTTCGCCGAGAAGGCTGATGAGATGACATCCACCAACAAAGACTCGAAAACCCTTATTGGCCGAGACTTGAATAAATAACTAGTCGGCCTTAAAGCAGTGTTGTCTATCCAAACTGAAGATGCTCCTCGGTCGACTGATTCTACAGCTCCAGTGCTGTCTATCCAAATTGAAGATGTCGCCGGTTGCCTTCACAGTGTTGTCTATCCAAACTGAAGATGTGCTAGTGTCACATCCCGACCTGGGGTCCACCACATCCCGAGCTTAACTCAGCCGTAGCACTATATTATCCGTTTTGGGCCCCGACCACGCCCTCACGATTTTGTTTCTGGGAACTCACACAAGAACTTCTCAATAAGTCACCCATCTTGGGATTGCTCTTGCTGCGATCTCGCTTAACTTTGGAGTTTTGATGGGATCCGATGCATCAGATCCCACATCGCCTAGGGAAGTGGATCCTCTATGCCTTATATGTACATGTTCACCTCCTTTAGAGACCCGACGTCCTCGTCAGCACACTTCTGGCTAAGGATTGGCTTTGATACCAAATTGTCATATCCCGACCGGGGTCCATCACATCCCGAGTTCGACTCCACCGTAGCACGATATTGTCTACTTTGGGCCCCGACCACGCCCTCACAGTTTTGTTTCTGGGAACTCACATGAGAACTTCCCAGTGGGTCACCCATCTTGGAATTGATATCACTGCAATCTCACTTAACTTCGGAGTTCCTAATGAATCCGAAGCCAGTGACTCCCAAAAGGCCTCGTGCTATATGGAGGTGGGCATGTACATATAAGGCACATCACCCCCTCTCTGTTGATCGATGTGAGATGTTACAATTGGAGGGGAGAAAAGGGAAGAGGAAAAATTCTCAGGGCAGTGCAATTTTTTTGAAATGCTAATAACACCTTTCTTTTTCAAAAATGACTTATGTGCCACAAGTACACTATCACAATGGCATCTCGTGCTAATGAAATAAAAATATATGTAAGTTTTTGTCTACATATCTTCATTTTATTTACATGAATGACACACGACGGTGTACTCGTGCTATGTAAGTTATTTTATAATACACATTTTTATGAGTTGTGTGGAACTATAACCTAGCACTACTCATCAACATAATACATGCATTTTTATGTCTACTTTTATATTTCTTAGTTCTCAATACCAAGATGCCCCACTATTTTTCTTTCATTGTTTGTGGAAGGGAACTAGGGATATCTTCCAATATTTAACAAAATTAAAGTATCTACAACAATCAGATATCAGAGGCTTCTAAATTCAGAAAAAACACCACTTCATCTAATATACAACCAATTAATAGATAATCTCCCACAAATGGAGACATGGGAAGAAGATCATTATCAATGAGATCATGAAATAAAAAAACAAAAATCCGACCCATTTTCTCGCCTATCATGACATGACTATATATTTCAAGCAGCAGTTGAGTTACCAACCGTCGGTAATGTCGCATTTCTTTGAGCTCCCACCAGGCATGCTTCCACTACTTGCACCCACCGGAAGATTTACCTTCAAATCCGTACATTTCACCCTGAGTATCCCGGCCCTATAGTTTATACTATACCACCACCCATGTTGCATTGTGTACGTGAGCGACATCCTTAAATTGAAGCTCACACCCCCTCCTTCCTTCTGCTCCTTCTCCATGTCCTCCACTGACGAGCTCCCTGCCGTGGAGTTGGACATCTCCATCTTCAACTGCATGGTGCCTTTGGACTTGGAGTCCAACCGCATGTCCTGCATGAACGACCCTCCCGACGACAAAAAGTTATCTTTGTGGTACAAGGCAGTTTCCCATTTGTCCACGTGCATCCTCAGACCAAAGCTAGGGTTTTCCACGAACATCGTGGCCTCCCATTTGCCCGAGACTACTTTGGTTGTCGGGACCATGTTGAAATTGGAAACGCCGAAAGACTCGACTTTGAAGGTGACATTTTCGGGACGGACGACTGCGAACATGATGATGCTAGCCAGAAGGGTCCCAGTGAGTAAGAGGAATAGTATGATGCAGAAGCAGCGGGCAAAACTGCTCGCGGCTTCATCGTGTTGAGAATAGGTGGTGGCGTAATACGCATTCGGGTCCGCCTGATAAGGGTTGTAACTGGCGTTTGGAGGGTAGCCATGGTAGGGCAGGGGTGGGGGATACCCATTTTGAGGCTGAGCATAGTTCATAGTAGATTGAGGGTACCCGGGCTGGGGGTGGCCGGCAGTGGAGAGGCGAGGCTGATCGGTCTCTGAGGATTGAGTTGGAGGTTGATCTGCTGTGTGGGCTTGACTACTTTGGGTTGTAGAAGCCATATATGAATTTCTATTATATTTATGTATTTCTATTTCTCTGCCCTCAAGAATCTCCCTGAAGAGAGAGAGAGAGGGTTTTGGGGGGTGGGAGATAGAACAATGTGGTATTGGAGGGAGAATAATTATTGAAGGAAATAACAGTGTTAAAATAGGTTCGTGGAGTGTGAAAAGCGCGGAAAGAGCGTGGGACAAGGTAATTAATTAGAAGTTCTATGTTAAGTAAATAATTTATGAGTGTCAATGCATTGATATAGCTAGCAGAATTGGAAAATGGCAATGGTGTTGACAGCTGAGTACATAGATAATCCAATTTCCAAATATATAGTCAAGCTTTCATTCATGAAATACGTGGACAAAGAAAATCTTGGGTGAGGCTGTCATGTGCGGCTGTGCGGTAGCTCACTCACATAGAGGTGACCTCCACTTGGTCACATTTTTTGTAAGTCAGTTACTACAAAGGACAATCTCAATCAAGAATTTCTCATTCGACAATGCTATATATGTCATAGCCTCAGACAGTAATCAACGTACTGCAAGCATAATTTGTTTATGCGCCAAATTTTGAGAGAAAACAATGATATTTATAAAAAAGAATTACAACTGAAGGGGAGAAAACTTAGCTCATGCGTGAAGTGATTTGATGAGCCATACTACAGACCAAGACCTGGAATGTGGCTGCCAAAGCAATTTACCCTTACCATGCTCTAAGAAATTTGAATGAGCCAGAGTCCTGATAGAACGCCCCCACGCCACGTCCCCTATGAGCACAAGAGAAATCAATTAATTTTGTGTGTGTTTACAATTATTAAGTAAAGCATCTAAAAGAAAGTTTGGTGTTTCCTCAAACCAAAGCCTCTCCATGTTCATGGACAACCCAAACTGAGTCAACCGGTGTGACACACCATTTGCATATCGTTGTGTGTAAAGAAACTCAGAAATATGCTCAAGCAAGAACTTTGTTGTACTCAATTATCATGCCGCACACGACTGGACGTGGTTCTTGCTGTGAATGGTTGCCATCGCATGCAAACTGCAACTTTGAAAAACCGAAGGATAAAGCCATGCCATTTGAACACTACTACTAAAGATGAAGATGCCAAATCATGACATATATTTTGTTTTGGTTAACCAATTATAGTTTGCCATGTTTAATAAGTTTGTTTAGTCAATTAGAAAGAATATTGTAAATAGCTAAGGCTATATATATGACTATTGATGTAATTATCCATTCATTCAATCATCATAAAATATTGTGTTCTTAGTATTCTATATGGTTTCATCGCCAACCACCTCACGACCTCTCTCGATCCTCTTCTCTTCCGCTTTGCTTATCTAATTTCTCTATCATTTGCTTGATTTCTTCGTCGATCTTGTACTCCGATCTTCGATATCGTCATGTATCTCTTGATCTCTAATGGCGTCTCCTTTTGCGTCCTCTGAGTCAGTGCCCAATTTGAATCCCAATTCCTCTTCAAATCCTAATTCTTCTCAATCTTACACATGTCTCACGATCCAAAACATTGGCAGCATGGTGCATATCAAGCTTAAGAGATTCAATTATTTGCCATTGCGAGCTCTCTTTGCCCTAATTCTTCAGGGCTATCGGCTTCTTGGTATTGTTGATGGCACATAATCTTGTCCGGCGCATTTTCTGCCTGATCGAACTATCAATCTGGCGTTCGAATCTTGGTATGAGAAAGATCAAAATCTTCTCATTTGGTTTAATTCCACACTCTTTGAAGAGGTAATTCCATTTAATGTTGGAGTTTCATTTTCTCGTGATCTCTGGCTCAAACTCGAACAACGATTTGAGGGCGTTTCTGATGCACACATTCATCAGCTTCGATCGCGACTTCAGAGCATTCAAAAAGGTTCACAATCAATGTCTGATTACCTACAAGAACTTAAAGAGATTTATGACTCTCTCATTGTCGCTGGAGCTTTAATCTCTAATCGTGATCTGATTGTTGCCACTCTTGCTGGTCTTCCTGATGATTTTGAGTCTTTCACATATTTAATCATGCTCCGATTATCTTCCACTTCTTTGGATGAATTGCATGGGTTACTAGTCACCAAGGAGCTTTATATGAATCGTCGAAAGAAAGTTGTCTTATCCAACAATGTTGAACCGTTTCATGCTCTATCTGTACAAGGTCAACCACCTCTTCTTCCCACACTGCCTCAGGCGTATGCAATACAAAATCAACCACTTCAGAACTCTTTTCGTTACAATTCGAATCGAGGACGAAACAGTCGCTACAATAATAATCGTGGAACTAGAGGCAACTCTCAAGGAAATCAGTATACTAGTGGTTTCACTCTTAACAACAACAACAATTTCAACTCTCGTGGTTCATCTTCTAGTCTTCGAGCACTGTGTCAAATTTGTGGCAATCCCAATCATGAAGCTATCAACTGTTTTGATCACATGAATCCAGAGATTTCAGGTCGAATTCCCCCTACTAAACTTCAAGCAATGTGTGCACGCTATACTGCAAAGCCCTCTCCTTCTTGGCTGATCGACTCTGGTGCTACCTCATACATCACCAATGACATCTCAACCATCAATTCTCCTACTCCCTACAATGGTGAAGAAAAAGTATACATCGGGGATGGTAAAGGTTTATCAATTAATCATGTTGGTTCCTTTATATTACGTACACCTACTGCTTCTTTTAAACTGAACAATGTTCTTCATATTCCTCACATGAAGCACAATTTGTTATCTGCCTAGCTCAAAAATTACAGAGAACTATTTTATATGATCATTGAAAGTTTGTAACTATAAATACAACGACATCACCACGTAAATTACAAACAACGATCCTTTAAAACCAAACATCATTCCCTCGCCTATATTACAGCAGCAACTAGCTCAAACTTCAATATTATTGACATGTAAAATAAGATCAATTACATCATTTAGGCAACGGAATGGAGCATTTGTGGCCCCCATTCATCTTTCCCTCAGTACCTTTTGAACCCAAAAGCTCAACCTTCAAACCTGAACAGTTCGGATTTAAGCCACTTGGGTTCCCATTCCCAATAGCTCCTTCATACCATATGAAGCATCTATATGCATTTTCAAACTAAAACTAAGGTAACCCTTCTTTTTATCCTCACTCAAGTGCTTCATCACTCGATCTTCCACATACGGCTGTTCGCCCTCACAACCCGTGGAATCAAACTTGATCTGCACAGTTTTCTGCTTCCTCGGAGGAATGTGCAGTGTTGCATCCACTGAAGCACATGATAGAGCCTCACTTTCTTTGTAATACGCATAAATCTCAAAAGGGTTGAGGGTAACAATTAAGCCGCCATTTTGGTTCCCAATGTCAGCTTGGCTTCCCACTCAGCTGAAAGTGACGAATTCGAAACTTCGAAATTTGATAGAGAAAATGCATCTAAACGAAGCACAAGGGGGTCCGTTCCTGGACCGGACTTTCAATCCACATAGTTGCCTACGAACCATAGAGAAAATCCGATGGCGGTTGCTAGACTTACCACTATCATAACAAGGACAATATATCCACGAGCTTTATTGAAATATGGAGATAGTTTGCACCGCAAAGAAGCCATATATAAATCTTCCTGAAAGAAAGAGGATACAAAGGTGAAATTACGTACGTCACAGTATGGTTTATCATGATTTACAGTTTAATAACATAGTATATCAGACATGCGGTGAAACATCGTTTCTCTTTGTTTAGGTACCAAATTAATGTTCCTAAAATCTATCTCACTAACCAGCAAAAGAAATATTTGACCCAAAAAAAAAAAAAAAAAACCTGCAAAAGAAATAATATTTTAACAAATAAATAATTTGAAGGAAAATAGAGTATGCAAATCCTTTTTAAATGCATAACTATAGAGGAACATATGGTAATGGTAGACAGGCCAGGAAAGGGATCCTCTCCGGATCCCTTCCTCTTAATCCACTAAGTTCGAGGATTCGGACCATTGAAATTTGATCCAACGGCTAAAGTTATTATTACTTTTAAAGTGGGTCTTTGTTTGTAGTCGTTGGGTCAAATTTCAATGGCCCGAATCTCCGGACTTAGTGGATTAGAAGGAAGGGATCCAGAGAGGAACCCTTTCCGGCAGGCCACAAGGGGAATATCAATCTGAATTTTTGCAAGTGAATTCTTACTATTTCTTCATCTCATGGTCAATGCCTGCAGTGTGTAAATTTTCATTGTTTTTAGAATTGAAATGAAGAGTGAAATCATTTAGGAGACTTGGATTTAAAATCCATTCGCCAATAAACTGACTTGACAATTTAATTTCACTAAAATTTTTTTACAACTTTCTTAGAAAATAAATAAAATCATACCTTGTAATGATAAAATTTCTTGGACAGCGAGCAATTAATCCAATTATATGGAGGTAGTTAATGAGCAGACTTAGAGAAAAAAGTGGAGATACTGATCGAAAGAGAGAAGAACAAGTGAGGGAAGAAGGCAGCAGTTACACGTTACAGGAATATTATATTTGTAGGGGAAGATAATTAATATGCATATGACGGTTGGCGAAACGATGTTTCATGTTTGCGGTTAAGTATGAACGTTACAGTATAATTAGTATCACAGACACAGGTTTTTTTTTTTTTTTTGTCAAAGTATCACAGATATAGTTGGAAAATGATCAATGTTAGGCTCGTAGGAAGATTATTTTCAAATCTTGTGTATGAGTAGTCTTAGGTTTGATTCTAGTAAAAAATAATTTCGAACCAAATTATTATGACTAGTCAATTGAGGCAACATTTTTTTTTAAATTTCTTTTTTTGTAGTGCCTGCATATTTCAACACCAAATGTTATTGAAATTTCCAACAATATTTTGTCTTATGGTGTCTATATTCATGTTAGGTTTTTGATCGTCTTTCTTTCGACATTCACTGTACTATTTTATAGTGTTTTTAATTAATAAAGCATCTAATATTAAAAAAAAAATACCAATTTATGTATAACAATTAAATTGTACCAATGACGGCACAAATGGTGAGTGAAAATCTTCTGTTTAGTTTATGGCAGTGCCTTTCAAACACATTTTTTTAATCCCACATACTCTTGTTAATTTTTATTCATTGAGCTTTTTCAATTTATTCGATTCAATGACAAAAAATTCAAAGAAATATGAGAGGTAAAATGAGTGGATAACACCACCCTTATTTTATTTGTGTTTTGACTTTTTACAGTTCCGCTTAACCATAATTTGATGGAATCCTCTATTAAAATAGGTAGAAACGTTAGTGGAAGTTTTTCCATGTTCATAATCAAGCTTTTGAATTTACAACCAATGAAAGCTCATCAACAGAAGGTAAGAAAGTTTGATCTTTGCTCAAACTAATTGTCCATCAAATTAATCACAATCTCAAGTTAAAAAAGCACCAACTAATTGAAAAAAAAGGAACAAAGAAGAAGAAAATGTGTCAGATTGGGTCAACTAATTAGTACTGGAACCGAGCACCTCATAGGCCCTCCACTAATCCAACTTCCGAAACCATTTCTAGGCGATAATTCAACCTTCATATCCAAACACTGAGGGCTCATTACAACATGTTGTTCCCCCCACCAACCAGTCTTATAAGTTGCCCAAACAAACATTTGCAAGTTAAAACGCACAGCTCCATCCTCACGCTCCCTACTCAGCATCTCATCCAAACCCCACTTCATGATCACCACCGGCAGACCAAGGCGATGATAGTCCTCCTCCGACCCTGTCATCTTCGACGATATCTTCAAGCGAATCATTTTACTTTCCTTCAATCCCAATTCAAACGGCTCCACAGAGCTTATCGCGACGAAATAATCTTTGTACGAAATCGAGCCCTTTACGTGGTTGAAACGAACCCATGTGACAAGATTAGGGTTCTCTACCGTAAGGGACATTTCCCAATTAGCCCCTAGGGTTGTGCTGGAGGTGTTAAATTTGGACATGAAGAGGGAATTGAGTTGGACATTTGGGGGTTGTGGAGCTAGGGACAAGGGCATGGAATTGCAAAAAATTGTGAAGGTTCCTAACATAAATATAATTAATAGAACATTGATGAGTTGGACAAGGACCAAACCGGCAATCCATCTAATAATAGCCTGAGAAGTGTTAGGGTTTGAAGAAGGGTTATTTGAAACGGGGAGTAGTGGCGTAGTGGCTGCGGGATGAGCTTTTGAATTAATTTCCATGGTTAATAGGAGTTAATCAAATCCTTGTAAGATCTTTGAGAGGAAGCGATTGATGCTTGAAGAAAATGGGTAAAGAAAGTTAATGTATAAAAAAGAATGTAACGAAAACCGTTTAAGCTGCTATATTGTTAAAAATCTGAATACTATCAAAGACTGTTAAAAAACTGAATAACTAGACTCCAACAAACATGAGCACGAAGATTTCTACACATCATGAATTTGATCACGAATGAACTTGTTCATTAACTTGAATTGATACTGATTACTGATTAACGTTAATCAAATTCAGTTCAATTAAACTAACGATGCCAAATATATACACTAGTCTTCCTTTTTGGCAGGGAAAACTAGTTTTTTTTTTTTAAATACAAAAATATTATTTACACTAATAGTGGAGATTTATCGTTATTAACTACATTGGAGAAGTAGCAGAGATGAACAATTATAAAACCAAGAAATTAAGTTTTACAGAGAGAAGAGAAAATAATGAATGAAGGTTTTGTACTGACTTTACAATCTGTTTACAATAGCTATATATAGCTGACTAGAGGACCAGCTCCTAAGCTTTGAGTAACAAACTCTAACAAACTCTTTCAACGAACTATTACATCATCCAATCCTTTAAAACTATTTTGATGAGCTGGCAATGATGAGTTGGCAATGATATATTTTGATAAGCTACACAATAAGCTAGTCATAAATTTGGAATCTAACTCGTCATCTACAAGGTTCAAACCTAAGACCTTCCATTTAATAATTAATAGTGAAGAAAAATATTACTAGACTATAATATTAAGTGACAAGAAAACTAGCTAAGAGAAATCATATGGTTTTGAAAGACCGCTCGCGTTATTAGCGCATGCATATGTTATATTATGTGCGATTATATACTTTTCTTAAGGAAAATGTATGCTATAGCCTATATATGCAATAAGATAACGAATACGTACAAGAGGTAGATACTACAAAAAGAGAGAGATTCTGAAGAAATAAAAATATTGTAGAAGCTGCCAAATGAGGTTTAATGAAAATGCATGTTGTCATAACTGCAGAAGAAGACCCAAATTAACCCATTTAACTTGGGACCAATAATTGGAATGGCTTCTCCCGAGGATAGGAGGCGTAAGCGAACAACAAATGTGTTTGCAAGTGCTGGTAGTAGCCAAAGAGGAGTTGGAATGGTGAATTCGAAGGAAGATTTGTGATCTCCTTTACGAGGCGAAGGAGACCAGTCTCGAGGGGTCTCCCGGGTTGCTATGAAACTCATATGTTGGCATTGTTTAAGGCATTAAGAGTACTTGATAGTTCATGATTTGTCAATGTAGAATAGGCTCCACACCTCTAACGTGGTGGTGTTACTTGAGAAAGAAAAAAAATTATGTAGATGATACACATATTTAAAGCGGCAGTTATGCAACATTTTGGAGAAATCTGTAACGTCAAAAATCACTTTGAACTCTTCCAAAAATAAATCCAAACAAATTAACCCTAAAAGTGTTTTGAGTTAGAAAATTACGTGAAGTACTTCTTAGAAGAAAGTCATTTCAAATACTTTTCCCATTAGAAATTGAGTTTTTATAAAAAATAAATTACGTGCTTCGCTTGAAGGCAGAATCTAAAAAGCATTTCTACAAAGTCAGCTGTGCTTTGTGAGGGACTTAGATTGGTTGCTATTAATTACTTACCTCCTTATTTTAAAGAGAGCTTTAACGAAAAAATTTCGGTACTGTTCATTTTAACGAAAAACCATATTTTTACACTAAAAAGTCAATACTGGTACTATTCACTCTACCATTTATTTTGTCCTTATCGTTAAAACTCAAAGCTTTCAAGCTATTTTCATTAGTTTTCCTTAATTTTAATTTGCTTTGATTTTTGTTGTTGATGAAATTTTTTTATTTTTTATTTTTTGAGTAAAACGATATTTTGTTGTTGATGATGAAATTTAACTAGCAAATTGATAACACAGATTTTTTTTACTAGCGAATTGTTCTCGTGCCGATCCGGCAGGGTCGTTGTACACTGGCCTCTATTCATATGCCTTCTACTTCTTCTGTACAGGTTCCAATTAGAAGAAAATTAAGGATTCATCTCAATGAATAATTGGATAAATTATCGTTTGACCTCTTGAGTGTTGAATCTAATTCTTCGAATTACATTTTTGGTAAATTAATCTCATGAACTATTTGAAATCAGTCAATTAATCCCTCCTCATGGTCAGATTTGATGAAATTTCAGCAACTTTTCCGTTAAATACTAACACGACTTTACCCTTAAGAGTGCATCTTGTGTTGGTCACGTGCCAGTATTTGACAGCAAAATGGATGAAATTTTATCAAATATAAGAATGAGAGATTAATTGGCTAATTTCAAATAGTTATGGGAGATAATTTACAAAGAGAACTGCCAGAGCCACCCCACAACCTTATTTACCCACCCCATCTTATAATCTTACCCCTCATAAAAAGTTAAAAAAATTAAAACACTCTTTTCTCACCCACCGTATTCCTAAAATGTCCATTAATTTAACTATTTTTCAAAAATTAAAAACTAGTATGTTTCTAATGATTCTTTAAAAGAGTGTCGATATTAAATCATAGCAAACTGTGAAAGATCTGAACATAAGCATGGCTGCCTTGCACTGAAGAAGAACAAAAGTACAAACACCAACCTCTGAACTTAAATTGGAATTACTCTCTCCTTTCTAAATACCGTTCAAAATCATAGGAAACTCAGTGCCAGTTTTAGGTTCCACTGCATGTGTTCTCCAGTTCAAGATGGGAATAGGTAGTCCTGCACATCTGTAATGCCCAACCTCACAGGGCCTTTAATCCATGATGTCCGTATTCTCCAATGGAACAACTAGTACATTTGAAGATCTGGTGGTAATTAACAAAGAAGAAGGTTTGTAATCAACATTAAAAATAAAACCAATTGGGTAATTTTCCACTTTAATCCACTCCCTCGTGAAGGGTTTAAGACTTACAAGCTGCCAAAGAAAGCCAATGCGTTCTCTTCGTGTCTTTAATTTTTTCCTTTTGGCTATAAAATATTTAGGATTAATTTTTATTAGGGCTTTAGAAGTCATTTTACAAAAGGTTAAATGTGTCATTAAATTTTTCATCAAAAGGTGGGTGGGAAAATAGGAGTGAGGTGGGTATAACAACTCTCTTTACAAGAAAAATAGTTCAAAAAATCAATTTCAACCAAGATAATAATTTAGGAAGTCAATAGGCAGTTTGCTCTTGACAATTTGCAATTGCAAAATCCTTCTCCATCGAACCATTACATTACAACCTCTAATTAAAAAGCTAAATCTGGCCTGCCTGCTTGTGCCACCTTAAGAAAAAACAAAAAATAAAAAATAAATAAATAAAATAAAATCCTATTTAGGCTATTTGATTAAGAAAAGTCTGATTTAGTCAATTAGCACGGGAACCGAGCACATCATAGGCCCTCCACTAATCCAGCTTCCGAACCCTACTTTAGGCAAGAAACCAACCCTCAAATCCAAACATTGAGGGTTCATTATAACAAATTGTGTTCCCCACCAACCAGTCTTGTACGTAGCCCAAGCAAACATTTCCATGCTTAATTCCACAGCCCCATCTTCACGTTGCCTTTTGACCTCGTCCAACACCCATTCCTCCACAACTGGTTGATCATCATCTTCTAACCCCGTTGTCGATATCTTTACGCGCATCGTTCTTTGCTGCTTCAATCCCAACACAAATGGCTCCAACGAGTATGTCAGGATGACGTTATCTTTGTACGAAATTGAACCATCTAAGCGATTAAAGCGCACCCATGAAACCAGATTAGGGTTCTCTATTGTGAAGGTTACGTCAAAGTTGGCACCTAGCCTTCCTCTTGAGATGTTAAGTTTGGACATGAAGAGCGAGTTGAGTCTGATTTTTGGGGGTTGTGGAACGAGGGATGTGGCCATGACGACGCATATCAAGGTGACTATCCCTAATGCGAATAACAAAACACGGTGAACAAGTACCAATTTTGATGCCCATCTCGATGTAATAGGCTGCGATATGTAGGGGTTTGAACTCGAAGGGCTGTGTGAAACTGGCAGCAGCGGAATGGTGACTGAGCGCTGCGCTGTTTTACTAATCCCCATGGGTAATAGAAGTTTATGCTTGTAATATAATGTAGGCGGTTACTAGGGATTTTTTCAGAGAAAGAGAGATGGGATTTGATGAAGAAATGGTCCGGGGAAGGAAAGTTAATATAAGGGAGAAAAGGAAACTAAATAACTACTAGATAGAAGAGGTCGTTATAAACTGAAATTAATTCGAACCAAAATTTACCAAAAGGGAGTAACAAATAACTAGAGGAATTTCCACACATCAGTCATTTGATAACAAATAAAATGATTAACTGCGCTACATGTCTCGAAGTAGAAGGTTGCTGAAATATTGTTGATCCACCTACTTCATTATATATGAGATAAAATCTTAGCAATATATTTTTACATGACCTGATCAGTTGTAAACGATGATATAAATTTAAACACTTTACATACGAAAGATCTGCGCATACGAAGTTCAAGCTATAACCAATGTTTTAAAAATCACCAGGCAATAGTTGGACAGTGTGAAGGTCTAGCGTTTATGGGTCTAGGCAGTTTTTTTGTTTTAATGAAAGTTATTGTACAACTATTGTCCTAAAAATTATACAACCTATGTGGCATGCAAGTCGAGTAACTAAGGAGCTAACTACGTCCTTTGGTGATACACTACTGCACTCGATCCGGCGAATGTGTTGAATGCGATGGATGTGGTGTAATGCGCTTCTGATTCCTGAATCGAGCGATTTCGACTGAGGAAGTAACATTCTCAGCCTTGGATTCTGTAATTTGAAAGCAAGGTTATGCAAATCAGTGTGAAGTTCTGGATCTTATGCACCGAATTCGGTGGCCTTGATTATATTGGTAAGAATATAAGTCCACCAAACTATATCAAACTATAGGGACAAGGATACTCAAAGAAAATGAGTGTTTTAATTGTAAAAGTGATTCGACTGTCTGAATGCCAAACTCTGAAAGTGACTTGAGAATATCCAATTATAAAACGCTCAACTTCTCCAAGAAGGCTAATGAAGTGATATTTTTTAGTGAGAGAACCAAAGACTCTTTACCGACGGAGACTTGAGATAGTTAACCCGTCAAACTTGAAAAACTCGCCCTCTAACTAGACAGTCAAGACTCTTAAGCTAAACTGGTCCTACAACTCTGGCCTCATCTATCCGGACAGTCACCTTTGCTAGTTACCTTCGAAAACCTCGTTTAACCATGCAATGGTCATCCAACGGCTGTAGTTAGTAAAGTAGTTAGTGTTTTTTTTTTCTCTCAAAAGGGATGAGATGGTTTGCGAGCGTTGGTTTGTGTGTTGCGTTGAAGGTCTTGTCCACGTTACAAACCTTCTTGTATTTATATGAGCAAATTTCTTTGACCCGAACAAGGGTTTATCTAACAACATTTGGAATTATCTCCATGAATAGTTTTTCCACCGGAATTCTACCGTTATCAAGCATCAATGTATTCTACTCGAACTAGGAATTTGAACCTAGTTCTTTCTCGTGATTAATTAATTCATTCCTCACCCAGCCACAAGTTTTGACCCTTACACAATTCAATCCAACGCTTATCAAAACCATCGTAAGTCCTACTCTAACCAGGACTCGATCGAATCGTGATCCATTCCTGATCACTACCAATCTCAATTCCTCTAGGACTCAGTTGAGTCACCAACATCTAGCCATTGGGCCAAATATTTCACCATTGAGCCGAGGTTCGCAGTCTTGTCTGTAGGCTAAACTCCTTCTCGACCCAAATTTGGGATTTCAAGCCTAAACAATAATGTATAAATTAAGGGTCTACTTATATTTAAAAAAAAAATATATATGCTTGTATTTGTAAATATAAAATGCAAATGAAAGGATATATAAATTATAAAGTATACAAGCTTCTAATGTTAAGAGTTGATCAACCACCTTATGAGTGGTAGTTTTTATGTTTCCTATGGTTTTGTGCGCATGATAAAGAACTATGAGAAGGAAACTCAATTTTTGTAGAAGGTGACTCATAGCAATACTGCTTTTCGAGAATTACAAGATCATTAAAAGGGTGATGTGGTCTTTATCTCGTGGTGCCTTTACAGATAGTTCTACAACTTGCACAGTTTAGTCATCATGAGTGTTATCTTTCATATTGGTTGGAAGTGAGTTTTCCGTAGCTAATTGTATCGTATTCCTAATGAATTTTTAATTGTGAAGTTGTGGTGCTTCTTTTGGCATGTTTGACCCCTTGATTATGTTTGGCATGACTTGTTAATTTGTATGTTTATTAGATGTTTGTGTATGAGTTTTTGAATCATCAGCAGTTATCGTATGTATGAAAATGCAAGAAGAATTAAAAGTTGATCAATTGGTTAGCTCTACTGTTTAAGGATCTTACGTTTATTTTCTCTGTGTAGTGAAACTTGGTTAAATTAGTCCCTAATTAACTATATATGTACAAAGTATAGAAACAAATGTTCAATAAATTCTTTTTTTTTTCCCTCAACACTTGTAGGATTCTTTCAACATATACACATGGTAAAGATTAAAGAAGGTTTATTTTCAACATTGATACGTACGTTCATGATTTACAAGAATATTCTACGTCCATCAGATTGTACAATCTCAACCTATACCCTAGTACTAACTAAAAAAACAAATTTCCGATTTAATCAACTAGCATACGAACCAGTTGAGAAAGTCATTGGCCCTCCGCTAATCCAGCTACCAAACCCAACTTTAGGTAAGAAGCTAACTCTTAAATTCAAACACTGAGCCTCCATCGTAACATTTTGTGTTCCCCACCAACCATTACCATACGTAGCCCATGCAAACAAATGCATGTTAAAATTCATAGCACCATCTTCTTGTTGCCTTTTGATCTCTTCAAACAGCACCGGCCGACCTTCGTGTGACACGGTTGTAGAAAACTTCACCCGCAACCTTTTATGTTCCTTCAGTCCCAATTCAAATGGACCAACATGGAATTTCGAGAGGGGATTATCTTCATATGAAATTGAACCTTCTATGCTCTTAAATTGAACCCACGAAACAAGATTAGGGTTCTCTATTGTGAAGGCCACATCCCAATTTACCCCAAGTGATGTGTTTGAGACGTCAAGCTTGGACACGAAAAGTGAGTCAATTCGGATTTTGGGGGATTCTGAAATTATGGACGTGTACATGAACACACATAGCAATGTGAATGTACCTAATGCAAGTAATAAAGCGCGGTGGACAAGTACTAATTTCGCAACACAACGTGACGTGAAAGAATCTGATATAATGGGGTTTGAAGGGTTGTTTGAAATTGGGAGCAATGGCATTGTGGCTGAGTGGTGAGCTTTTGCAGTATTTTCCATGTTGGTTCTTGTTAGGATTTTTTTTTTTTTTTTTTTGTGTAAGAAAGAGAGATGTGAGTGAACAAATGAGTAAAAAAAGTTAATTTAAAAGGGAGAAGATAAAACTGAATACCTACTAGAGTAAGGTGGACATAACCTGAATAACGACTAAATTGAGATGGGAATAAAGAATTGTGTGGAGACGATTTGTGATGTGTGGTCGTTATTACCTGAAGTTAATTGCAAACTGACATTTGCTAAAAAAGAGTAACGAATAACTATTATAACAAAAAAAAAATAACTACTAGAATTTCTAAACATTGTTAATTGTTAATTACTTAATTAAGAACAATTAATCTCAACTATATAATTTTCTCTAAACGCTAAAATAAAACAAAAATAAATTCATGCACCTTAAAGCACATTACCCTCCCATGTATTGAAAACAATAAATACATGAGAAAAATAAAATAGGACACCAAATTACGGTGAGACTACATATAAGCTCTACAAGTTATTAGAAGTACCTAACTTCCCATCAAATTAGAACAAAGATATCACACATGCCCAACTTACTAAGCAAGTTGGTGAACAATACTAAAAATAGCCTTAGTAAGCATATTCAACTAGATGATCTCTAGTCCACACGAAAGGAATAGTAATAGCCTCATCATCTAACTTCTTAATACAATGACGATTGATCAATCTACATGCTTTGTACCAAGAGTGATTTTCATTCCGATCAAATCGGAAACAAGCACTCTAATGCCAATTCATAAAAAAATTCAGGATAAATATTAGTTCAAAATTTGAAATTTTGAATTATCGAAATTCATTGGAAATGTTGGATCCGATTTTTCTTTTTTTTTTTTAGAATTTTGGAAACATAAATAAGATTTCTTACATTTTGCAAGATTTTGAAGATTTTCAAACTTTTATGTATCCACCACTGAATATCTTTTTCTGAATTTGTGCGATGTTTTTATGTTGTTATGTATGTGTATGACATAGTTATATTAGACAAGATAAAATAGTATGTATGATTATACTCTTCGTGTTTAATATATAATAGTATCATTAAATACAATAAAATACGAAATAAAGCATATCTAAGCCTAAAAACATGATAAATAAGAACATGCATGGTTTTTTTTATAGTACTAAGTTTGAGAAATTTTGGACCACATAGGTACAATTCAATTGCCATCCAAAATTTTCCAAACTTTTTGGAATCGGAAATTTTCAAATTCGAACAGAAATTTTCGGTTCAAATTGGAATATTCGGTCCAACTTGCACACCTACTTCGTACTATTATGTTGTACTAGTTTATGAGAAATCTCAACAATTGTTTTGTTATCACAATGTAGACTCATAGCTTTCTTTGGTCCAAACCCAAGATCTTGCAATACTTTCTTAACTACAACAATTCACAAACACCATGGGACGTGCTACGAAATTTAGTTTTTACACTAGACCTCCACCAAAAGTAAAGTATCCAGATCTGAAACGCCTATTAGTAATTAATTAAGCCAAATCCGCATTTGTATACCTTTCCATTGTTGGAGTATGCTCGAAAAATAATTGACGTGACAATACATAATTTGTTATTTGTGGCAACCCAATGTCGAGTCGTCGATGACAAGGGCAAGTGAGAACATCCATCAATCGAGCGTGTGACCTAATAGCAGATTAGGAAGATTCATTGTGATTAAGATGATT